CTAAATGATCTAATCCTTCTCAGACATTTTTCAAATATTAGTCCTTTATTAAGTTGAAACTGCAGTAAAATGTTGAATGATATATATATAAAAAAAAAAAAAAAAAAAAAAAAAAAAAAAAAAAAAAAGAAAAAAAAAAAAAAAAAAAAAAAAAAAAAAAAAATATATATATATAGTGTATATATATATATATATATATATATATATATATATATATATATATTGTATATATATATATATATAGTGTATATATATAAAGATATATATAATATATATATATATAAGTAAAAATATATATATATATATATATAAAGTGTATAAGTTATATATATATATATATATATATATATATATAAAAAGTGATATATATATATATAATATATATATATAAATATATATATATATATAATATATAAAGGTATATATATATATATATAAAGTATATATATATATAAAGTGTGTATATATATATATATATAGTGTATATATATATATAAAGTGTAATGTATAATATAAGTGTATATGTATATATATATAGTGTAATGTATATATATATAGTGTAAGTATAAAAGTGTAATGTATATATAAAGTGTAATGTATATATATATAGTGTATATGTATAATATAATGTATATATATAAAGTTAAATATATAATATGTAATGTATAAAAGTGTATATATATATATATGTAATGTATATAAAGTGTATATATATAAATGTGTATATATATAAAGTGTATATATATATAATGTGTATATATATATATATATATATAGTGTAAGTATATATATATAGTGTATATGTATATATATAAGTGTATATATATATATATGTAATGTATATATATAAGTGTATAGTATATATATATATGTATATATATATAATTATAGTATATATATATATTATATGTATAAAAGTATATATATATATAAAGTGTATATGTATATATATAAGTGTATATGTATATATATAAGTGTATATGTATATATAAAGTGTATATAATATATATATATATAATATAAAATGTATATATAAAAAGGTGTATATATATATATAAGTGTGTATATATATATAAAAGGTTATATATATATATATATAAATATAAAATGTATATATATAAAAAGGATAATATATATATAAGCAAATTTAATATTTTTTCTTTTTTTTTTCTTTTTTTTTTTTTTTTTTTTTTTTTCTTTTTTTTTTTTAAACTGCAGTAAAATGTTAATGATACAAATTAAAACTCTTTGAAACCAACAACAAAGCAGTCACAGCATGTATCTTCATTAATTAGAGTAATAATATGAGGTTATGTTGTGTAACCCTCAGTCCAACCTGGTTTACTAATCAATATAACTAAACAATTCAGTAAAACCAAAATAAAACCAATAATTAAACTAAAAATATTAACAGTGATAAATTCTAAACATCCAAAAGATATTTGAAAGAGTCGTAAAGTTTAACTTCACATACGCCTTCCTTTGTCTTCTGTCAGGAACTCCTCGTTCGGAGGTTCAGGAGGAGGTGGAGTGCGCCCCGTCTCCTCACCTCTCTCTCACCCTCAAGGTAAGAAAACCAAATATCAACTGAATGTCTCACAATCTAAATCTAAATGTGTTCATTTTAAGATGGGATTGTGAGTTTTTCATCTTTCCTTTGGGAGAAATTCAGACCTGGAGAATCAGTCAATCAATATTTTTTTAATTTTTTTTTAATTTAACCTTTATTTAACCAGGAAAAGTCCCATTGAGTTACAGTAACTCTTCTCCCAGGGAGTCCTGGCCAAGACTGGCGGCAAAAAGTTTAAAAAATATATATATATACATAAAAGACAGGACAAAGGTTACATACTACACCACAAATCTCTGTACATACACTATACGTACTAGAACACAAACAAGACATTACACTTAACTCAAGCTAACACAGACATACAACTTAAAGGGCACCTAGTTAAAAACAATTACACTGTTCTGTCAGAGTTGACTTTAATAATAATAATAAACTGTGTGTGTGTGTGTTCCAGGTGGCGGGACTGGGTACGACCCGCGAGGTGGAGCTCCCTCTGTCCAACTACAAGTCCACCATCTTCTACTACGTCCAGCGGCTGCTGCAGCTCTCCTGCAACGGAGCCGTGAAGACGGACAAGCTGCGACGCATCTGGGAGCCCACGTACACGTAAGAGGAGGGACGGTGTGGATGTGACGGGAGCCATTTCACAGATGTTTGAGTTTTTATTGTGGCTGTTCTGTCCGCAGGATAATGTACAGAGAGCTGAAGGACTCTGACAAAGAGAAGGAGAGCGGGAAGATGGTGAGTCACTTACAAACCTGAATCACAGCTCCAAGAAAAAGAATATCAATATTCTCATCTTCATCATCAGGAGGAGAAACACTGGACGTCATTCTGGATTCAGCTTTTGTTTTATTTTCAGCAGTTTAGACACAACTCGCCTCTTACTCTCCGTAGTCTCACTGCGGCAGGATGGGCCTAAAATAGTTGCTAGAAAACGGCATCATGTAAAAAGTTTGAATTCAGACTTTGTCGTGTCGGTACGCAAGACGACAAGCAAACAACTCCTAAAATGCTTGTTTTCTAAATGGAGTTTGGTTGCTGTGCTTCCAACCAACAGCTGTCACAGCGGACAGGTTGAGGAGATAAATCCACTTTTTAATCCCAAATGTTTCAAAAAATAAACGGTGTAATCTGGTGTGACTGCGGACTCGCAACCTGACCTCTGACCTGATTCCTTTCCCTCCTCCAGGACCTGTGTGAGCACAGCATCGGTGTCGGGGGTCGTTCTGGCGGTCTGAGCCCGAGCTCTGTTTCAGCCAATCAGAGCAGCGAGATCCTGGGCGTGGCCAGAGAGATGGCGCAGGCGAAGGCGGGCTGCAGCCAGAATGCCTGCGGGGTGGAGGACGTCCTGCAGCTCCTGCGCATCCTCTACATCATCGGAGGAGACGCGACCTCCAACGCGCGCACGCTGCAGGAGGGTACGGACGCAGGAGCACGAACAGTCGGGAGGTTTCTCTGTAGTTTGTTGTTCTGTATCGAGATTAATTTATTTCTTTGTGCAGATTTTGATGAGCTGCAGTTCAACGCGTCTCCAGAGGAGTTCACCAGCAAGAAGATCACGACCAAGATCCTTCAGCAGATCGAGGTCAGTTGGTTTTAAACGCTTCCTGTGCAGAGAGTGGGTTAGCGATCAGTGATGATGCTGGTTCTCAGTGGTTGTTGCAGGTGATAGTGGATGCTAACGCCTCGCTTTGTTGTTGTTTCCCAGGAGCCTCTGGCTCTGGCCAGCGGAGCTCTGCCTGACTGGTGTGAACAGCTCACCTCCAAGTGTCCTTTCCTCATCCCCTTTGAGACCCGACAGCTCTACTTCACCTGCACAGCGTTTGGAGCCTCCAGGTGAGTCCCAACACAAACAACAACAAATGCAAAGAAAATAAGTTAAAAATAAACACAAATGTTCAGTTAAAAGCATGTTAGGTTGTGGGAAACTCCTAAAACCCCTAAAACCTAAGGAAAGATAATAAAATGAGACGATTGCGACCTTCCTACCGGCTCCAAATTGTCTGATCCATCACAATCGTTTGCCTCCGAACTTATCAGTTTCTTTTATTGACGCCGGTACTGTTCACATCTGAACTGATACCGAACCCAAAAGTACCTTTTCTCAGTACTTTTCTCTCTGTGTAATAACAAATCAAAGCTGTAAACTCCCCTCACTACTGCAGTGCTTGTACACTGTAATATTTCACTGTAAACAGTATTCAAGTCGCATAAAGCTTCATAATAATCCCGCCAAACTGAAATCCAGAGAGCAAATTTAACCAGGACATCTGGTCAGTATCGCCACCTTCATCGTACCTGGAGGGTTCTAACGTTAGCTGTGGCATCACACAGTCTTCGTGCTCTGACTCACTGTGACTGGAACAAACTGCAGGCGAAGGTGGATCGGTACCCAACCCTACAGGTGTAAAACAAACCGGTTGTGTCTGCAGGGCGATCGTGTGGCTCCAGAACCGGCGGGAGGCGACCATGGAGCGCTCCCGGCCGTCAACTACGGTGCGGCGGGACGACCCCGGCGAGTTCAGGGTGGGTCGGCTTAAACACGAGCGAGTCAAAGTCCCCCGAGGGGAAGCCATGATGGAGTGGGCCGAGTCCGTAATGCAGCTGCACGCTGACAGGAAGTCCGTGCTGGAGGTGAGAGGTCGACGAGACACGATGCTACGTGTAGACTCATTCATACGTTCATTATATATATATATATAACTTATATTAAGATAGAACTTAAGACACATTCAGTTGGACGACCTGTGATCAAACTACAGAGGCTGCAACATGTGTCCGTCTGTCCGTCCCCAGGTGGAGTTTCAGGGTGAGGAGGGAACAGGTCTCGGCCCGACTCTGGAGTTTTACGCTCTGGTGGCTGCAGAGTTTCAGAGGACGTCACTGGGGATCTGGCTGTGTGACGACGACTTCCCCGACGACGAGTCCCGACAGGTGAGAGTCCCGAGCTGTGCCGTAGGTCCAGTACAGTCAGTGTGGGATGAGTTGGATCAATACAGATTGAATCAGTCAGTCACTGAGCCTCTTCTGTGTCTCCTCTTCAGGTGGACCTGGGCGGCGGTCTGAAGCCTCCCGGGTTCTACGTGCAGCGCTCCTGCGGCCTGTTCCCGGCTCCATTCCCTCAGGACAGCGAGGAGCTGGAGCGAATCACCAAGCTCTTCCACTTCCTGGGCGTCTTCCTGGCCAAGTGCATCCAGGACAACCGGCTGGTGGACCTGCCCATCTCTCAACCCTTCTTCAAGCTGCTCTGCATGGGGGACATCAAGTCCAACATGAGCAAGCTGCTGTACCAGTCCCGCAGCTCGCCGCAGGGCCACGACCCCGAGCGGCCCCACCTGCAGCCCTTCCTGCTGCTGTCTGAGGTGCAGTCGGAGGCGTCCACCGAGGAGAGCCAGGAGACGTACTCCGTGGGCAGCTTCGACGAGGACTCCAAGTCCGAGTTCATTATGGACCCCCCGAAACCCAAACCGCCGGCCTGGTACCACGGCATCCTCACCTGGGATGACTTCCAGCTCGTCAACCCACACAGGTGAGAGCGGAGACAGCGGCCGTTCATTATCGAGAGTATTTCTGGTCACAGGCACTGTACATGACCTCCTCTTCCTCCTCTTCCTCCTGCAGGGCGAGCTTCCTGAAGGAGGTGAAGGAGCTGGCGGTGAAGAGGAGGCAGATTCTGGCCAGTAAGAGTTTATCCGAAGATGAGAAGAACACCAGACTGCAGGACCTGATGCTGAGGAACCCGCTGGGCTCCGGACCCCCCCTCAGTGTTGAGGACCTTGGGTAAGGGACACACACACTCACACACACACACACACACACACCTCCACACACACACACACACACACACACTCACACTCACACTCACACACACACTCACACTCACTGTTGTTGTCTGTGTGAATAATGAGTCTGTGTCTCTGCAGGTTGAACTTCCAGTTCTGTCCGTCCTCAAAGGTCCACGGGTTCTCAGCTGTGGACCTGAAACCTAACGGAGACGACGAGGTAAAAAACACTTTCACACACATTCACACCGTCTGTGGTCGGGTTGTAATGTGGTCGAGTCCTAACGTTCATACTGTGTCTGTCTGTCTGTCTGTCTGTGTGTGTGTGCTGTCTGTCTGTGTGTGTGTAGATGGTGACCATGGAGAATGCGGAGGAGTACGTGGAGCTGATGTTTGACCTGTGTATGCACACCGGCATCCAGAAGCAGATGGAGGCCTTCAGAGGTATGTACACACATCGTCATGGTAACGGCCCACTGTGCAGTCCTCGTCAGTTAGTGTTTATAAATGATTAATATTAATTCCTCCTCAGAGGGTTTCAACCGAGTGTTTCCGATGGAGAAGTTGAGCTCATTCAGTCACAAAGAGGTTCAGATGATCCTCTGCGGCAACCAATCACCTTCCTGGACTGCTGATGACATCATCAACTACACTGAACCAAAGCTGGGTTACACCAGAGACAGGTACGTCTCCGCAGACAGCTGTCTATCATCATCATTATTATTATTATTATTATTATTATTATTATTAACTCATTAACTGTCCCTTCAGTCCCGGCTTCCTGCGCTTCGTCAGAGTTCTGTGCGGGATGTCGTCTGACGAGAGGAAGGCGTTCCTCCAGTTCACCACCGGCTGTTCCACGCTGCCCCCCGGCGGCCTCGCCAACCTCCACCCCCGCCTCACCATCGTCAGGAAGGTAAGGTCGCTCTCTGATTGGCTCTGCCGCCCTTCAAGTCACGTGGTAGTTACTGATGTTCTGATGGTTTTGCTGTGTGACTCTGATTGGCTGCTGTAGGTCGACGCCACCGACTCCAGTTACCCATCAGTCAACACGTGCGTCCACTACCTGAAGCTTCCCGAGTATTCCTCCGAGGACATCATGAGAGAGCGCCTGCTGGCCGCCACCATGGAGAAAGGCTTCCACCTCAACTGACCGCCGCCCGCCCACCGCCACACTGAGCATGCTCCTCCAGTCCGTCTCGCCGCCCGCCGCGTGATTGACAGATCAGCCAGCCAATCCAAACCAGCCGACTGACTGAGCGACCGCCTGCCGGAGGACGAGGAGGAGGATCAATGTCGCAGAATAAAATTAAAGAGAAGCTCACATCCTTTAACCTCCCTCCTTCATCGTCTCCTTCATCACCTGAGCCGCTGTGTGTGTGTGAGAGAGAGTGTGTGTGGACCCTCCTCCTCCTCATCTTCCTCCTGTTAGTGCCTGGTTTGACTCGTAGCTTCTGTTTTCAGCTCCTCCTCCTCCTCCTCCCAACAATCATGCTTCTCCTCCTCTTCCTCCCTCTTTTTGTTTTTATTTTGTTTTATTGCTTTTTTGTTCCCGTGTGCGTGCGACAGTTTTCGGGTTGTTTTCTGACCAGCTGTTAGAGGTCAAAGGTCAGAGTGCATTTGGTGTTCTTTTACAATGAAGCTATAGAGACAGAAACACTGGGCGTGTGCGAGGCACATCTGAAGAGAAGAAAACAAAATGTAAGAAGCTCTGCTCTCCCTTGTATTTTCTTTGTATATTATAAACATTTATTTAACTCAAGTTGCAGTTTGAGGTAAACAGATATTTTCAAATGTGTATGCTCCAAAAAAAATAATCATTAAAATGTTTGCAAAGTATGAAGTAAAGGCGGAGTCCTGTGGTCTGTGCTACGTGCTAACAGTTAGCTCCTGGTGAGGTCGGCTCTGAGGCGGCGCTGACTGAAGCCTTACAGAGACTCACTGCTGGAGGCCCCCTCTAGTGGCCCCCTCTTGTGGCCCCCCTCTAGTGGCCCCCCTCTAGTGGCCCCCCTCTAGTGGCCCCCCTCCTGTGGCTCCTGTGGCCCCCTCTAGTGGCCCCCCTCTAGTGGCCCCCTCTAGTGGCCCCCTCTAGTGGCCCCCTCCTGTGGCCCCCTCTGTGGCCCCCCTCTAGTGGCCCCCTCCTAGTGGCCCCCTCCTATGGTCCCCCTAGTGGCCCCCTCGTGGCCCCCTCCTATGGTCCCCTCAGTGGCCCCCTCTAGTGGCCCCCCCATGGTCCCCCTAGTGGCCCCCTCAGTGGCCCCCTCCCATGGTCCCCTCAGTGGTCCCCCTAGTGGTCCCCTCAGTGGCCCCCTCCTATGGCCCCCCTCCTATGGTCCCCCTAGTGGCCCCCTCTAGTGGCCCCCTCCTATGGCCCCCCTCCCATGGTCCCCCTAGTGGCCCCCTCTAGTGGCCCCCTCCTGTGGCCCCCTCTAGTGGCCCCCCCTAGTGGCCCCCTCTGTGGCCCCCCTCCTATGGTCCCCCTAGTGGCCCCCTCCAGTGGCCCCCTCCTATGGTCCCCTCTAGTGGCCCCCCTCTAGTGGCCCCCTTCCTAGGTCCCCCCTAGTGGCCCCCTCTAGTGGCCCCCTCCTATGGTCCCCCTCGTGGCCCCCCCCCCTCCTATGGCCCCCCTCCTATGGTCCCCCTAGTGGCCCCCTCTAGTGGCCGCCCTCTAGTGGCCGCCCCCGCCCTCTAGTGGCCCCCTCCTGTGGCCCCCTCTAGTGGCCCCCTCCTGTGGCCCTCCTCTTGTGGCCCCCTCTATGTGCCCTCCTCTAGTGGCCCCCTCTAGTGGCCCCCCTCCTGTGGCCCCCTCTGGTGGCCCTCCTCTAGTGGCCCCCCTCTAGTGGCCCCCTCAGTGGCCCCCTCTGGTGGCCCTCTCTGGTGGCCCTCCTCTAGTGGCCCCCCCTCTAGTGGCCCCCTCCTGTGGCCCCCTCTAGTGGCCCCCTCCTGTGGCCCTCCTCTTGTGGCCCCCTCCTAGTGGCCCTCCTCTAGTGGCCCCCCTCTAGTGGCCCCCCTCCTGTGGCCCCCTCTGGTGGCCCTCCTCTAGTGGCCCCCTCTAGTGGCCCCCCTCTAGTGGCCCCCCTCCTGTGGCCCCCTCTGGTGGCCCTCCTCTAGTGGCCCCCCTCTAGTGGCCGCCCTCTAGTGGCCCCCTCTAGTGGCCCCCTCTAGTGGCCCTCCTCCTGTGGCCCCCCTCTAGTGGCCCCCTCTAGTGGCCCCCTCTGGTGGCCCCCTCTGGTGGCCTCCTCTAGTGGCCCCCTCCTGTGGCCCCCCTCTAGTGGCCCCCTCTAGTGGCCCCCCTCTAGTGGCCCCCTCTGGTGGCCCCCTCTGGTGGCCCCCTCAGTGGCCCCCTCTGGTGGCCCCCTCTGGTGGCCCTCTCTGGTGGCCCTCCTCTGTGGCCCCCTGTGGCCCCCTCTGGTGGCCCTCTCTGGTGGCCCTCCTCTGTGGCCCTCCTCTAGTGGCCCCCCTCTAGTGGCCCCCCTCTAGTGGCCCTCCTCCTGTGGCCCTCCTCCTGTGGCCCCCCTCCTGTGGCCCCCTCCTGTGGCCCCCTCCTGTGCCCGGGGGAAGAGTGGGGGGTGCCGTCCCCGGAGGTCGCTGATTGGTTGATTTGGTGCAGACTAAGTTGAAACCAGGTAGTATCGGTTGTTTGTGGTGACCGTGGACAATAAATGTGGACGCAGGAGAATATTAGTTTCTGGGTGAATCTTTAATCAGCTGATTGTCGAGTTCATGCTCACTATACACTGCTAACTAGCATGCTAACATGCTAACCAGAGTTCAGACGTCTGACGATCCGTGACATCACTTCCTGTGTTTGAGTCTCAGCTGTCGGCCATCTTGTCGAGGGCGGTGAGCGGCGCCAGGACGCGGCTCTTGTTGGTCTCCACGATGTGTCCGTTCTGGATCATCTCGTCCAGGAGGATGTGGACGCGGTCCAGGTTGAACATGATCTGAAGGCGGAGTCAAAGAAAGCAAACAGGAAACAGACAGACAGGAAGTAGCAGCGTGGGATGGAAGGATACGTCGAGCTCGCTCTGTTGGAGACAAACGCCGTTATCAGACGGGAACAACAACAACAACAACAACAACAACAACAACAACAACAACAACAAGGTAAATGTAGTGAACTCACCACCCGGCTGAAGTATTTATCCAAAACCTCCACGAAGTTATGAACCAGCTCGTAGACGGAGAGTTCGTTCTGAGGAGACAAACAGTCACTGTAGGACGACCTTTGACCTTTCACTGGCTGTAGGACGACCTTTGACCTTTCACTGGCTGTAGGACGACCTTTAACCTTTAGGGGTTCCCTCACTCACCTCGCTGTCTGTGACTCCAACGACGATGTACAGCGCGGCGTACTGACGGTAGATCAGTTTGAAGTCTTTGTACTCCACAAAGGAACACTGCGACCAATCAGAGAGCAGCACCGTTACAGGACCGCAGACAGACAGACAGACAGACAGACAGACGGACAGACAGACAGACAGACGGACAGACAGACAGGCAGACGGACAGACAGACAGACAGACGGATAGGCAGACGGACAGACGGATAGGCAGGCAGACGGACAGACAGACAGACAGACAGGCAGGCGGACAGACAGACAGACAGGCAGACGGACGGACGGACGGACGGACAGGCAGACAGACGGGCAGACAGACAGATGGGCAGACAGACAGACGGGCAGATGGGCAGACAGGCAGACAGACAGACAGGCAGGCAGACGGACAGGCAGGCAGACAGGCAGACAGACAGACAGACAGGCAGGCAGACAGACAGGCAGACAGACAGACGGGCAGACAGGCAGACAGGCAGACTGGCAGACTGGCAGACAGACAGACAGGCGGACAGACGGACAGGCAGACAGACAGACAAGCAGGCGGACAGACAGACGGACAGGCGGACAGACAGACAGACAGGCAGACAGACAGGCAGACAGACAGACAGACAGACACACACCTGGTCCTTCTTGCGGCTCAGGCAGCAGCGGACCACGTCGGCCTCCAGCGCCGCTCTCCGGCTCAGCTCCACCGGTTGGTAATATCGCGACAGTCTGGTCTGACCCTGCCGGTTCACCATCAGCACGAAGGTTATCATCCTGAGAGCCTGTGGACTCAACCAGCACACTGCCTTAACGCCACCGCGGATCCGGGTCTTTGGGTTTTACGGTGAAAGTAAAGCTGGTGGGGCCAATCACTGAATTTAAAATCAGGTGTTTTATATGTTTATAGTGAATTAAATATTATATACAGAATTCAAATATATCTGAACTACGATGGTTACATATAATCTGTGGAAGGAAGTGATCGGACTATAACGGATCAATACTCTGATAGATCAAACAGAATAAAAACTGGCGGTAAATAAATAAATAAATAAATAAATAAATAAATAAATAAAGGATTGTATCAGACCGGTTACTCGGACAGCGGAGTTTCCGAGGAGCACTTGAAGGCAGCACATAAACACAAACAGTTTATTTACTTAATAATAATAATAATAAACCTTTTTACTACGACGTTATAAATACAGCACAGAGCTCCGGTATGACGGTTATTGATTACTAATGGCAACTTACCGACAGCTGTTAGCTTAGCTTGTAGCCGAACTGTAGCTAAATGAGCCCCATCACAGGCTAACAACAAGCTAACAACAAGCTAACAACAGGTTAGCCGCCGTTAGCCGCCGTTAGCCGCTGTTAGCCGCCGTTAGCCGCTGTTAGCCGCTCACAGTTGAATTAAAGTGGAATTAGAAAGACAGAAAGACGCAGAAGCTTCCGTTACCGGAGATAGCGAGCTAACGACAGCGGTTAACATTTCTAACGCATGCGCAGTAAAGCCCTCATCTGGCGCATTCAGGGACAACCGGTGAATAAGAACTTCCTACTCAGACTGTATTATCTTCATTATAACAGAAACATTTTAATTCTATTGATCAAAGTAAAACTGAAACAGTGTAAATGTAGGGTACAATCTAATAATTGATTAAAGTATTTCTGAAACTGATTGGAAGCTCGGAGGGGACGCTGTCTTTGCTGCGTATTTAATTACATTATGGAATAATCTGCCTCTGCTCGTTAAACAGGCCTCTTCTCTGTCTGTTTAAACCTAAAACCTCTTCTCTGTCTGTTTACAACCTAAAACCTCTTCTCTGTCTGTTTAAACCTAAAACCTCTTCTCTGTCTGTTTACAACCTAAAACCTCTTCTCTGTCTGAGTTTAAAACCTCTTCTCTGTGGCCTTTGACACGGAGTAAGATGTCGACTTTATTTACTTGATTTGATTTCTTATTTTGATTGCTGTTTAATGCGTGGCTATTATTTTTACTCATGTTTTATGTCTTTTCATTTTATTGTTGTATTTTATGTTATTTTGCGCCTCATGTGAGCTGTAATGTCTTTTATTTATGATGTCTTATTTATTCTCCTGTACAGCACTTTGGTCAACTTTGGTTGTTTTAAAGTGCTTAACAAATAAAGTTGGATTGGATTGATCTTATAAATGGAAATATAATAAAAGACAAACAATAAATAAACATTCATTGCTGAATGTGGTCAGAAACTGTTCTCGTTCAGCTCTGAACAGAAGAAATATCTTAAAGAAAAACTGCATCTGTGAGTTAATAAATGAATCTTTGGTGTCTTTATATTCAGAATATATAATTATATTTCATACAGACGCCTTTAAATGTTTAAAATGACGGCTAAAGGCACCCGAGGGTCCACAATGATTCTGGTTGTGTTGCATCCATACGACCACTGGGTGGCGTCACAGGCGTACATTTCTAATTCTACACATAGTGGCTTCACTTAACATAAAGGTAGTGGCTTTAATTTGTGTTGTATTATATTATATTATATTATATTATATTATATTATATTGTGTTGTATTATATTATATTATATTGTAATACTGAACAAACAGGATGAAGCATCCAAAAAGACACAGCCGAGTTTCACCAGCTGACTCAGGTTGGTTGGAGGAAAGTTCACCGTAAACGCAAACATATGGATTTATATTTTATTCAATCAATTATATATACTGCTTCTTTTTTTATTATTTAAATCTTTTGAGAAGCAGTGCCACTCGCTGGGAGATCTGAATCCAGCTGGGAGTTCTGATTTCCTACGTTTTCCCTGGGCTGTGAAGTTACACAATGTATTTGTTGTTCTTCATAAATATTTAATGTGTTTTACAATTGAATTAATTTCTACATTATAATATAAAACTTTATAATGTAATGTTTGGTTTACTCGTATAGAAAGAACTGAACAGGGGAGTAATAGATTACATGTAACAGAGTTATCAGGATACAGAATAAAGTAACTGTAATCCATTACAGTTACTTTAATACCATTACTGACTATATGTTTATGTAATTTAAGTAATTAGTAATTCGGATTACATTTATAAAGTAACCTGTTGAAAGTTAATGATTCAATATTATTATTTATTTCAATAAAGTTAAAAACATGAATCTGATAGAAGGACATTAGGACGCTGTTTAAATATTTAAAGTATTTTATTATTTTATAAAAATAAAAAAAGGGAAAGCATTGAGGATGTATCGTTCCCGGCATGCACCGCGGCTGGGTTCTCCCTCCGCCACCGTCCAGAGAGAGAGAGAGAGCAGTAATGGCGGCCGGGTAGCTCCACACACAGACACCGCGTCCGCATTCAGCCGCACTCACCGCAGCCCTCCGGGGGCCAGCAGCCTCTCTCACCGCGGCGGAGCCAGCGCCACAGACACGGAGCGGAGACCCGGGTTCTGGCGGGACGGGAATCACTGAACGGGCCGCGGCGGATCGGGACTTTCCTCATACTTTACTAAAGAAAAAAAAACATGGATGAGCACCCCGGCGGAGGAGGAGGGGTCGGAGCGGGAGCCCCCCGACAGCCGCCGCAGCAGCAGCAGCAGCAGGGGAGCAACGGCACCGGAGGAGTCATGGTACCGCACCAACCGGACGAGCTGCCCCGGCCCCAGCAGCAGTACACCATCCCCGGCATCCTGCACTACATCCAGCACGAGTGGGCCCGGTTCGAGATGGAGCGGGCGCACTGGGAGGTGGAGCGGGCCGAGCTCCAGGTTAGCTTAGCACAAGCTACGAACAACAACAACCCAGGGTGGCGAAGTCAAGGCCCCGCCCCCTCCTCCGCCTCTGATTGGTCGGGGTTTAGACACGAGGCGTGCTATTGGTTGGTGGTGGGGGGAGATTGTCAGTGTGAGCCAATCAGAGGCGGAGCAGGGCGGGACATGACTTCACCATCCTGGGAATGAGAAATAACTCGTCCGCTGTAATATTACCGGTTAAAATCAAATGTTTGATAAATATTGATAAAGGATGCTGTTTGCTGAGGATTAGCCACATTAGCTGTCCCTCCCGAACCGTTACTCTACAGCTGCTAACGTCCACGGCTAACCCAATGTTGGTATCCTAGCTCGCTGGCTAAGTGGCTAAGCTAACGGGAACGGATAGCGGAATGCGGCTAGGCTAACCGTTAGCTTCACGTCGCTGTCCAAAGGTAACTTAGCACTTAGCATTCCGCGCTGTGGCCACTCTCCCCCGTTAGCTCACGGGCTTATTACCGCTGTGATATCATCGAAACGTCCCATTGATGAAGTCACTGATGAAGAGGAGCAGAAGAGAATCCAGCTGACTGTCAGCTAATCTCCACATTCAGCCATTTTGGTTCGTCAGCTGTTGGTTGAGTGTTTACAGTCTGAGCTTCATTTACAATATTCACAGCTACTGGGACTTCACCTCTTCATCACATGTCGCTGTGCAGCTGTAGAAAGTGTTCATACACAACCTGGAGATGTGTTCAATACCGTTTACAATCATTTATACTCTGTACAGTAACAGGAAGGCTGATGGCTGGAAGCTGTACTGGCTCTGGTTTGTGGTACAGTGAAGTGTAATTGTTCATCTTGAAGCTTGTGAGCATCGGCTGTTGTCTATATAGGAGACCAGGCGGCGTTAAATAAGAGTTTCTGATGAGTGTTTGTGGAGCAGACAACCCTCATGTCTTCCAGAATCACCTGGAAGTTGAATAAAATGACCAAATATGGAAATAATCGGTGTTATCCTGGAACATTTTAATAGCCTGTCTACTAGATTACTACCATATAACCAGAATGATACCGTAACTGGAACCAAACGGTTATTATCAATCTGTAATTGTCTTCACCTGAATCCTACGACAGGTTTCTGAGTCTCAGACAGACGCAGTGATTTAGTGACCGATGCTGCTGGTTGGTTTATCAGTGCTTCAATGTCACTTTATGTCGGATATATTTTATGTTTTGTTGTTGTCGAGGACACAAAACTAATTCCAATCAACTGTGGTTGATACGGCGATAAATTATTGAACGTTTATAGATCCAGGCGGCGTCACGCTCCTCCTCCTCCTCCTCCTCCTCCTCTTCCTCAGGGTGAATTTCAGAGTGTAGATCTGTTCATTCAGGCTGGGGAGAGCTGAAATGTGTGAAATGTGGAGCAGTTCATGTCTTTGTCATAACACACCCTGCAGCAGGCAGCCTGAAGAGTGTGTGTGTGTGTGTGTGTGTGTGTGTGTGTGTGTGTGTGTGTGTGTGTGTGTGTGTGTGTGTGTAATGACAGGGTCTCCGTACACTCTGTGTTTGCTCTGACTTGTTGCATTGGGACACTGGATGCCTTCAGCATGACTCTGTCAGAGTTCCTGATAAGAGTCGAACTCACGGAGCGAAGGTGTCGACTGTTAGCGTTCAGGGCAACAAATGCTCGACCAATACGGCGTATTGATCGTGTGGCTGCTTGCATTTGAACTTTTAGGAAGAGTTTTTAATAAACTGTAAGTTTTACAATCAAAGCTGATTTTATTGTTTACTTCCATTTAAGAGTTTAAAAGAGAGTGACCTACAGATGAATATGGATTTATTAGTCATTATACTGTCAGGACCTGTTGGGAGAGACTCAGTCACGTAGGTTTAAACACACAACGATTTCAAGACTCCCGATTACAAGTAAGGATGTCCCGATTGATAAAGCCTTTTTAACTGATCAGTATCGTCTATATTGAGCTATCAGTCCCTCCAGGAAGCGGCAGTCGCAACAATTAACACAAGTTCGACCAATCTCTGCACATCCCGGACCGAGCTAACAGCAGTTAGTGGTTAGCTACTGATCAATCCGTCCATCAGAAGCTCTGTGGGTTTGTGTTAACGCGGTGAGATGATGTCAGAGAGCTGAGGAGACGTGATGATGGAGGTTTAACCAGCTGACAGTGAGCAGAGGAAGCAGATCCTCCACAGACAGACGTCCACCTGCTGTACCACTGTTGCTGTTGTTGATCCGCACAGAGACTTCAGAGACACACACACACTCATTCTGTGTTCAGTGTCGGGCCTCGTTATATCAGGAAGTGGAGGTCACATGTTCTACCTGTGTGGTTTTATTGGAAGTCATGTGAAACTGAATTATGGGCTGTCAGATTGTTTCAGATTTCAGACGGGAGGACTCGATCCTGTCTCACTCTCTGCTGTCATTTGGATATTGCACTCGTCCATACGGTGACTAATACTCTGATTACTGTGCGGCTCTGAAGCAGCTCCAGCTCTCGGTTTGAAACGGGCTGATGGAACCGCAGAGTGGCGGCGGAGAAGATGCGTCCGGTTAAAGCTCCACAGGAAGCAGCAGCAGATGAGTTTGATGGTCCGGGCTTGTTAAAAGGACCCGAGCTGTAAAATATTGATGCTGAGTTGGTATCTGTTGGCATCAGAGCGAGGAGCACCGACTTCCTGTTTGTCTCCAGTAAAGACGCCGAACAGCTCGGTCAGCGCCGGCGTCAGGAGGCCGACCGCCGTGCTGACGACCCACCGAACCGGCTGCTAGCCTGATTAGCTACTGATGTGGCGGTAAAGGTACACGCAGTCTCGACTCGATTCTTTATTCAGGCTAAAATATAAAGGAGTCTCTTGCTTTCTGAAACTGTTGGACACTTCACACAGGGTCGAGTCTCGCTCTGTCATCGCCTTACGTCCTGCGTGATGGGCTCTGGTCTGGATGTCGGGAAAACAGAAACAGTATTTATAGTTCTGGTTTATTGGCAGCTCGTTACCGTCACCAGATAGGACCAATCTCCATTCTTTAATTCTTTCCTTTGCTGAAAGTGTAATATATATAATATATAATATATCTGTCAAACAAACCCAAAGCAAATCAATATATCATCAATTTTAAATCTTTGAGTTGTGTCTCTGAGCCTGCGCCACACGAACTTCTCTTCACTATCAAAGTAATCTGGTGGTAGTTGTCTGTGCGTCCACAGCTACGCTGCAAACTGGAGCTGATAAAAGCTAATTTGGCAACTTTTAATGGAGCCAATTTGCCAAAATCTGAACAAAAATAGGTAAAAAATAAAGTTGAAGCAGATCGCAGACACTTCCTGTTAGCATCAGCAGCTCCCTTTAACGCTAACGTTGGTTCGTCGACTACTTAAGACGTTAGATTTTCCAGAAAACGTAACATAACTTTTATAATATAAAATAATAAATAAACTAATTTCACACAGCCTAGCTCATAGCCAGGAGGTCAAAGGTCGACTCTGTGTTTTGGTAAAAGAGGGCAGGGCTGCAGGACGGCAGGCTGTAATCAGGCAACCTGGCCTACTGGGCCCTGCTCTGACAGCCCGATCCCAGCTGGACGCTAAAAGTAGACCGTCCCGAAATAACACACACACACACACACACACACACACACACACACACACACACACACACACACACACACACACACACACACACACACACACACACACTCTTAATGACGCAGTTGTTCAGAGGAATGGCCCTTAAGACCTGATCTGTCAGCCTAGTAAATCTGGGCCAGTGAGCTCACTTCTTCTTCTTCATCATCGTCAGCCCTGCGCTCTGACCTCACTGCAGCTCCCCAAGGAGCGCTTGATTCATGTTCACCAGGTGCACTGGCCGGGAGGGGTGGTGGGTGCGACTTCAGCCGAGAACTCGCTAGAAACAGTTCGGATCCAAACGAAGTTGACTCCAACACAATAATCCGGTCCGTCCACTTGGAGCTCTCTCACGTCTGATCAACAACAAACACTGAATAAAGCAGTTCCACCTTAAACACAGTGAATAAAGCAGTTCCACCTTAACAATCACTGCTTCTCCCACGCTGTTGGACAGACAAAGGACGTCCCGGAGGGGCTGCGAGCCGAGCTGCTGCTAACGTTAGCTCAGCTTGTTTCTCTGATAACTTAAGATCCAGACGTCCGATGACTAAAATCCTTCATCCGGTTCAAATCTAGAGTTAAAAAGCACCAAGATCTAAACAGTGGATGGTAACAATGTGGCTTCAGACTGGATCAACAGTCAATGTATGACAGCTTCTGGCAGACAACCACAACGCTGACGCAGGCACAAAGGGGATATGACACCTTTGATTATAGATTATTGATTTAATTGAATGTGTCCCTGTGGTTCAATAAGAGACCTACAGGTAAATTATATGAGTTCAACATTAACGTAATGAGAGTACAATGTCTGACAGGATCTATGGGCAGTAAAAGCGTGATGTGTGATGTCACAGTCAGCTTCCTGTAACTGTGAGTGACTCACAGTGACATCACAGTGACATCAGCGCTCTGTCCACTGTTGTTTTTGATGCATTTGTCCTTTAATTTAATTTAATTCAGCTCTGAGACGTTGGCTTGTTTACAGCGTCTGAGGCTGCTGGCACACGTATGTGTTCTGGTATGTCGGAGGGAGCTCGGGGGGGTGGTGTGGAGCTGTGGCTGTCAATCACACAGCCGGCCAATCAGAGCACGGCTGAGTGAGTTGGGTCTGTTACGTAATCCTCCTCCCAGACTTCCCTGTTCACTCACTCCCTCTCTGCCTGTCCCTCTTTTGGCCTAGGCGGCGGCGGCAGGGGGGGGACCTCTAGTTTCCCCGTCGTCATGGCGACCCTCACTAGAGGAAGTCGCGACCCCCAGTTTGCCTCCGAATCCCCCCTGTTGCCATGGGCAACCTGACAGAGTGTGTGTGTGTGTGTGTGTGTGTGTGTGTGTGTGTATAAATAGCCGTCAGCCTGCGGCCGTCGTCAGCGTCGGGTTTCAGGAGCAGCTGCTCACAGACAGACAGATGGACAGAAAGACAGACAGGTGGGCTGACAGACAAATGGACGAACAGTGAGACAGGTGTAGGTAGTCAGACAGGAGGTGCTGCAGGTCGCTGGAGCCGTCTGTCTTCACTCACTGTCTGTACTGATTGATGACAGTTCAAGGTCTTCAAACTTTTTCTGTTCAGCTGAACCTGATCAGATTATTCTGATATATCTATATCTATATATCTATATATATATAGATATAGATATATAGATAGATAGATATATAGATATATCAGTCCCTCCAGAGTATTTTTGTGATTGTTGTGGGTAAAAATCCTTGATTATGCGGCTCATTTTCTTAAAAAATGCGATGGAATATGCGGGATATTTATGCAATTTTATGCGATGAAAACGGTAACTTGCAAAAACTGCGGCTTCATCGCGGGTTTGCAGCTTTTCGATGACGTTCACGTCGCTTCATTACGTCACTTCATAACGTTCCCATGGCAACAGGAGGAAATGGCTGCTCTTGTGTGAAGTAAACGAAACATTTTTTAACTTTCTGCTAAGATATATCTGACTTTTTTGCAACGAAAATGCGGGGATTATGAAATCATGCAAGCCCCGCATATTTTGTGCAGAAATCTGCAAAATGCAGCCCCCGCATAAACATGCAGACTTTGGCTGATTATGCATTGAATTATGCGATCGCATAATCGCGTTTTTCTGGAGGGATTGGTGTATATATATATATTATGTTTTATTGTTCCTCAACCAGTGTGCTCTTTATGTTAGCCTGCAGCTACCCAGAGTAAGACGCCACTGGAAGTGCAGCTAAGTGCAACAATAGCGCTCTAAACCGAAGTTGAAGTTGTGGCGACACGCATTCGTTCGTGATTTCACCTTTGACCTCTGATTGTCAGTCCGGTGGTTGACTACACAAATTAATCTGTCTGTCTCTCTCTCTCTCCCTCCCTCTCTCTCTCTCTCTCTCCCTCTGTCTCTCTCTGTCTCTCCCTCTGTCTCTTTCTTTCTCTCTCTCTCTGTCTGTCTCTCTGTCTCTCCCTCTGTCTCTCTCTCTCTCTCTCTCTCTCTCTGTCTGTCTCTCTGTCTGTCTGTCTGTCTCTCCAGGCGAGGATAGCGTTCCTGCAGGGAGAGAGGAAAGGTCAGGAGAACCTGAAGAATGACCTGGTTAGAAGAATAAAAATGTTAGAATACGCTTTAAAACAGGAAAGGTAAGAAATGATGAGTCCTTAACAATCATCCTCTTCCTCTTCCTCCTCCTCCTCATCATCAGAGTTTACATTGATTTCCTATCAGATAACCCGTCACTGCCATATCAGACTAATGTCTTTCACCTTCGTTAATCTTCATCAATCACATAAAACACCTCAGATTTGACTTTATTCCTTTTTATATTTATACATCATTAATGTTCAGTTCTGCTTCCCTGTTGTACTTATTGATTATTGATAAGGTGTATTGATCAGTAAGACGTTAGAAAGAGCTGCAACCAGCCGACTGAATAATGTGTTTCTCTTTGTTTCAGAGCGAAATATCACAAGTTAAAATATGGAACAGAGTTAAATCAGGGGGAGATGAAGATGCCAAGCTTTGAATCAGGTGGGTGACACAAGATCAACATCAGGAGGCATCATGGACTCTGTCCGCCTGTCTCAGACCCCGTCCCCCTGTCTCAGACCCCGTCCCCCTGTCTCAGACCCCGTCCCCCTGTCTCAGACCCCGTCCCCCTCCTCCTCCAAGATGCAACATTTCCACTTTCCCTGCTGACACATAGACGTATTATTGATTATTGATCCAGTGATCCAGCCCGTTATAGTGTCACTGTGTTGATCAGTATTTCCTCGCTGTGTGTTCAGACACCAAAGACTCCGAGGTCTCTGCTGTTCCTGCCAACAGTCAGCTCACCTGGAAACAAGGAAGACAACTACTCAGACAGTAAGAGCACACAGATCACTTTATTTCTAATGATCAATACGCTGCAGCCTAATTAGCAGATAATAATAATATAACACTCATAAACACAGATAATCTGCATGTGAACACTAAATCATCATCAGTCTATATCTGATGGGTTCCTGAGATTGGAACAATACAGTTTAGTGCAGTTCGAAGTGTTTCACAGACGATAATGAGACAGAATGGAATAAAAAGTAAAGATAGAAATGACAATAAAATAAGTTATAAAAATATTAGTAATAAAAGATACACTGAAAACTAGATAAATAGATTAAGAAGGCAAAAATAAACTATTAAAATCAATAAGGGATAAAAAACAAAATAAGAATAAAGTAAGTTAAAAACATTTTGCAAGGATATAAAATAAAATAAGGGAGAAATATAATATATAATGTTGCTTTCAGATGCTGAATTATTATAATTATTAAATAATTGTTAAAGTCGTTTGTCAAGAATCTGCTTTTTAATATATATTATATTTTATAATTGTCATTTTAAAATCTTTAAATGTATTTAAAGCTCCAGTGTGTCAGTGTTTAATCAGCTGATCGTTTGTTACCTTAGAGACGTTTGTATCTACAGAAGGAGCGGGTCCTCTTCTGGTGGTGGAGTCCGCCATGTTGAGCCACCATGTTTCTACAGTAGCCCAGAAGGGACAAACCAAACACTGACTGTAGATCAGACTTATTCACTGTGTGTGTGTGTGTGTGTGTGTGTGTGTGTGTGTGTCAGGTACCTACAGGAAGTAGGATACACTGACACCATCCTGGACGTCCGCACTCAGAGGGTGCGCTCTCTGCTCGGCCTGTCGGGCTCGGAGCAGAACGGCTCTGTGGAGAACAAGAACCTGCAGCACCTGATCAACGGGACGGAGCGCCGCAAGGACAGCAAGAGGTACACACACACACACACACACACACACACACACACACAGAGAGACTGGGGGGGTCAGAGGTCACACTGGTTAAACCTTTATGTGTGTGTGTGTGTGTCCAGGAGTCCAGGCGATGTTCTGGAGACGTTCAACTTCCTGGAGAACGCGGAGGACAGCGACGAAGAGGAGGACGAGGAGGGAGACCTGATGGACGACATCAGCACCGACAAACACCACAGAGCCAAGAAACACAAGACCAAGGTACACACACACACACACACACACACACACACACACACACACACACACACACACAGAGACACAGACACACACACACACACACACACAGAGACACAGACACACACACACACAGACACACACACACAGAGACACAGACACACACACACACACACACACCTACCTTCCTCACTCCACGCGTCATCCTCTCCTCCTCCAGGTGGGGAACGAGGGATTGGCATCAGAGGACGACGCCGACACGGAGGAGGCCCTGAAGGAGTTCGACTTCCTGGTGACGGCGGAGGACGGAGAGGGAGCGGGCGAGGCTCGGAGCTCCGGGGACGGGACAGAGTGGGGTGAGAGAGTCGGACTCAATCAGCTGTCAGATCTAAATGAATCAATCAATCAGTTTGACGATTCTCTGCATCGTCATTCATTAAATGTATCTCTCTCTCCCTCTGTAGCCGAGCCGCTACCGTTTCCTCCCGGTGGGGGGAAGTCCTTCCTGTTGGGGGGGTCAGACGACGTGTTGGAGAGCGTGCTGGGTCTGGGCGATCTCGCCGACCTCACCGTCACCAACGATGAAACCGATTACAGCTACGACGTAAGACACCGAACCAGAACCAGTTGAGGACGCAGAGTTTATCCATCGATTGGATCTCCTGATATCTGTGGTTCTCTGTCCTCAGCTGCCGTCCAGTAAGGAGTCCTCGTTCAGGAAGACGTGGAACCCAAAGTACACGCTGCGGAGCCACTTCGACGGCGTCCGAGCGCTGGCCTTCCACCCCGTCGAGCCGTGTCTGGTCACCGTGTCCGAGGACCACACCCTCAAACTGTGGAACCTCACCAAGACCGTCCCCGCCAAAAAGTACGTGAGCACTGACTCGAACACACATCTGGATCCCCGAGAGAGACTTCAGTTGAAACTCTGCATCATTCAAACAGTCTGATTGTGA